TTATGACCTGCGTTCAATTAATTAAAAGACCCGACGGAGCGCCGGCGCTCGTAAAATAGAGATGTGATACGTGTACCTCGATTCGTTCAGTATTCCCGAGTTTTTCTCGAGTTATTCTCTAAAATTACCTTCTCTAAAATATTTTTTTTACCGACTTATAACTTGAGTTTTACGACTATGACGGTGTGCAGCAGTACTCTCACTCTTTTCATTAAAAATCAATACGATTTATTACTACTCATGCATTATATAATAAGACATTTCATGAATGCTGAAATTCAACACTAATCATTTCACGTCGAAGTCCAACGATATTAAGCCAGGTCCAATGCTGAAACTCGCCACTGTGTTCTAAATTGCATCGTCTAAAATTCCTCAATGTCCGCTCCCCGTCCTGCTTCGTCCCACGTTGATTGCATTTCACTTCTCTGTATCACTTGTGACGCGATTATATTTATATCTTAACGGCGTTTTATGATCTCAACCAGATGTCAAATAAAAATTTCTTTATATCTAGGAGCAAGAAATATTTACGAATTTAATTATATACCACATTTCGCAAAATTTGTTAGTGGATCCTTCACAAATAGCGGGACAACAAATTCTGACGAATATTCTCGCGAATATCTCATGATAAATTTCGTTGTAAATATCTAATGATACGGTCAATTTTGACCCTTTGCGAATATAGTTATAATACAACAAACATTTTTCATCGCGGCTCGCAGCTAAAAAATCGCATGAAAAGGATCGCGAGCTGAAAAGACTGATTGTGTCAAACGCGAAATCTAAATCTCAATATAAACGAAATAATCATGAATCACGCGAGCAAAAAAGCGCACAGAGGTGTGCAGAGGCACGCAGAGACAAGCGGAGGCACGCAGAAATGTATTATGTAAAATTTGTACACTGCTCAAAAACTATCAGGAGATGACAATAAATATGCGTGAGAATAATTTCTGCTGAATTATTATATAACTTGAATTAGATATGAAGGTAAACATCAGAAATACCACATTTAAATAAATTTGAATACTAAAGATTGCGACCAAATATATTTAAGATAAAAAATTATTCAATACCTTAAATATTACTAAATAATGCAAACATTTGAAAAAGAGTAATCCCCTCTAATTGTTTGAGCAATGTATATGTTCAACAGTATATATATACATATAATCATGTACAAACCAACATACGAAAATCCATAAACAGTAATCGCATTAATTTTAACGAATCTTATATGTATTCATTGATCATACACTCAAAATTTCAAGCTCGTTATCTTTCAGTTTTTATGACTTACTAAAAGTACGCGACATGCTTGAAGGTCGGCGACCTTCGAAATAACAACACGCGTATGTTCCAGCATTCATCATAAGATTTCTATGCAGGATGTCCAAAAACTATCATACTTACATTTTGTATTGGAAAAGATTCTATTTAAGCCGCAGAGCGCGTTGTTTTTTCGAGCAAGTTTCTTTTCGCGAAGAATTAAAATCGTATACGTCGCGTTATACGCGCCACCGTAATTGCGCGCGTTAGTTTTGCGAGACAAACGATTTTGCAGGCTTATGCATATTCCGGAGTTGTGTCGTAATTTTTAACTCTTTTCCTCCCTCATATCAATCTGCGCGTTACCGTCGGCGGCGGAGTGTCAGGCGGTCCATGGTAATTGTCGCTTCTGCTTATAATACTTCCTGATCTTATTATTCGTGTTATAAGATAAATAGGTCAAACTTGTCTCTCCTCTCCTTAGAGAGGATCCTCTCGCCAGATCCTCTACCGTTATTTCCTTCGTCGCGTCGTCGCGTCTCCCCCGTAGGATTTTCATACCTCCGGAATTTTCTTTCGTCTGTCTACACGACGCTTTACAACTATTCCGCCTTATAATTCGCTCTTAATCGCTTACCGTTTTAATTGCGTTGGCTATGGATAAAACGATGATATTTGTATCGTCCGGTATTAAAATTAACTGACGTAATTCTGGAAGCTCTTTCTCCCCTCCCTCCCTCTCTCTCTCTCTTTCTTTTTCATGAAAGTAAAAATTGAAACTGCTTAGACTGCATAAAGGCGTATCTCATTTTACATACCGGAAAATACCGATTGTCGATTGCAGATGATTCATATTAATAGGTAATATTTATATGTTATATGTGCTAAGAACTTATTGTTAAAGTATTACCGACGTACAACAATTTGTCCGAGAACGCGCGCGAATGTTAATTAAAATTATTTTATAATGAATTATATTTTCATTTTACATGCAGTCATTTTAGATGTATCACTCTTTAATGGATTTCGGATGTCCGACGTAATTAAAGATCTTTTATTACGGTTACAGGATTTCATTGGAACATATCGTTATGAGCGCGCTGTAATGAGGAATGAGGATAATCGAAAATGAACAGGTCGTTTTACAACTGCACCATACGAAATTGTTTCGACTCGTACATTTGCGTAGCGCGCTTTAATTAATCTCGCATACAGTTCGTCATCTGTACATGAATGACAACCTTGAAAACAATTTCAAAAACGGTGGACTTGGAAAACACTCGACTTTTAAACGTTTCTCTCCGAAATCCGTAATAACGACCGACTTGCAAGTGAATTTATTACCGCGATTTAATAGCGGAAGATTTCCTCGCCATAAATTAATAACTTTTTACATAACTAAGATATACGATCGGTATTTATTATCTTATAACGATTACAAGAAATGATAAAAATGATAATCTTCATATATTAATTTTTTTAAAAATAGGAGAAGGGAAGAAAAACCGGGAAAAAATTTTGTTAGGTTTATAAATAAAAGTATCACCGCGTTCACAGCACGGCGAATATATATGTACAGCGAGTATTTTTTCTAGTTTATTCAATTAGCAGGAAAATGTTATTGCTATGTCGCATTTTTATGATGCTAAAGCTGCGCGGGCGACCCCGTGTATTGCGGAATATAAAAACCTCTAAATCGAGTAGCTTATGCAGCAGCTGGGACAGAAATTTCTGCGGAAGTATCATTGTCCCGTTTGCCCTGTTGTATGCCGGTGGCGAATACTCTCGGCGAAAATTCGTACGAAAATATTATCGCGCATTCGGTTTACACTATCGGAAGCTGTTGAACTTTACCTTGCGCATCGCACGTTTTCTTTATATATACATACATGACGTTTTTTCGAGACCCGAAGAAATTTGAGGACTGAAACACACACAGCTTATTGTCTAAGGACCGCGGAATATAAAAATAATATTTTCGTAAAGCCGGCTTCTCCTATTTGCTCACACAGAAACACTCACGAAGGAATTCTATTTGCGGTGGGAAATGCGTTCGGCGATGTCTCCGTTCGGCGTGCATGGAGACACTCGCCTCTCTTTCCAAAGTGTGATCGATTCAATCAACATTTACGTCATTATTCTGTAAACCACTGGATAACCATCTCGACGCGACACTCGGCTGCCGATTACAGGATTAATTCGATTCGCCCGACGAATCGCTCGTATCGCGCGTGTCGCGCTATCTGCTCTATCGACACGACGCAAAAATCGTTTGACGCTGCTTCACCACGGCGCATTTGAACGTCGCGCGCGTACGTATCGGCGATTATTATTTCCCGAAATTATCTCCCGAGGCGGATGCGACGCGAGAAAATCTCCGTAACGCGAAAATTTAACGAAGCACGAAAGCAGCGTGCACGGAAAGTCTACGCGCCCCGCGCACTCCGCACCCTCAATCTCGATTTCGCCGGTGAGGCAATTTTATATTTTATACATTACGCATCGTATTTTTCCGCATTTCGCCTTACTTTAAACGGCGGCCACGTTGTATCGAGCGCTATCGCCATCGCCGCGGTATTATTCATAGTGCAGCTGCGAAACAATCCGGGAACGCGTGAAAAATATGAGAAAGTAAAAGGAGATGTATGCTATTCATACGAAAGGCGGAGCGTTGGTTATAATCGTGTAGGACGCGCGATATTTATGGCAATTGCGTGCGCTGCACGGTAATTTCGCATTAGAAGGATAATGAAGCGTTATGTGCTTCCCTGTGCGAAATAGTTGTATACATGTATTTACAAAGTTAATTTATTTCGATCTTGTAATTATTAGAATTATCCTGGATGTTTCCAGTCGCATGTGGGCAACGCATTCACGTTCGAAAACACTGTGTGACATTTTATAATCATTTTATCTCGTGTGTATAATGGGGGGGGGG